GCTGTATGCAAATGTGTTTAGGGCTGCAACTAGCAATTATTTTCATAATCGATTAGTTGTCCGATTATTTTTTCAAATAATCGGATTAAAAAATTAAATAAATACCATCCTTAATTTAAAATAAAATTCCCAAATGCAGTGTTACAAACATGAAGCTGTGCAGTACCATGGATTCCAGTGCGTGCGATCACACTATGGCTGGGAAGTGCGTTTGGGGGGCCATTAAAATGAATGGCACTGTAACGCACCTCCCGCAGCAGAATTTGTCAGGCTGAAACCAAAAATTACTTTTTTCCCACCTTTTATATATTTTTTTAAATAATTCTATTGTAAGCACATGGCGCTTGAATAGCTTCAGCCAGGGAATGACAGCTGCCAGTGGCAAGATTCCGCAGATGGCAGCTGAATGTAAATACAGCAGGCAGTGGGCTGGTGCAATAGCCAGTCTGCTATTGCCCATATTAAATTGCAATAGCCAACAGCAGGCTGACTATTGCACCTGCCCACTGCTTGCTGTGCCCTCCTCCCAGAGTGGAGGAGAGAGCTAGGAGATCCAACCAACTAATCAATAATGAGAATAGTTGACAACTATTCTCATTATCGATTCATTGGTTGCATTGTGTTGACAAGTAAATTGCTGAGTAGGAGTGAGTAGGGGGCTGATCTCATCAGTATTCTGCTGCTCTTTCAATGTCCAGCCACGGGGGTGGAGAGAGGACACCACTGTATTCTTCTCTGTAAGTGGTTCATCCACCTGGCTGTGCTGTGTGTAAATCTTAGGACTAGACGGAGAGAGAAATAAAAATCTTTTGGCTAAAACCACTCCCTTATATGTATTAAATTTGTGTATTTAGCTGTTTTGCCTGGAATGCGGCTCTAAAGTTTCTTCTTGTCAGAGACTGTTGTGATCGATTTATATATTCTGTGCAGCAAAATATTGTCAACATTATATAAATGATTGAAAAATGTGACCAGCACTATAAATACTTGTGATTACTCACAATCCATGGCACACTGGTACACTTTCATGATTGGCATGTCTCACAGAATAAATGTTCTGTACTATGGCTGAAGTACAGGTCTGATATTGACATGTATCCATATTATTCAGTACACTAGGTTTAGGTTGATGAAAAATAGCATAGTTGTTCTCGTCAGGGGGTTTTACCATTTTTAGTACAGGTATTTTCCACATTAATAATTTATCATGTGTGATTTTTAGACTAAAGAAATCACTTATTGCACCTGAAAAAGTGATAGTTATCTATCCGTGAAAGTGAACCAATAAAGGGCAAAAAGGGCAAATTACTGGTTCACTTTAACTTCAACCTTACCCATAAATCTAATCCTTAAAGTGACATTAAACCCTCTGGGGTTTTTTTTTTTTTGCATGTATTTACTACTAGCAAGCAGTAGATATATGCAGAATCATTTTTTCTTAAAAAGGTTTTGCTTACCTGTTACTCCGCCACTTGCTCCCATCCAGAGATCTGAAAAATTCTCAAGCGACGGCGCAGGATTATGGGGTGGTCGCATGCGCAGCAAAGATCTTCGGCCGGGGGAAGAGGAGAGACACAGGGTAAGTCAATACAAGTAGCCCGGCAGCGTGCACGCACACAGACTCCGTGAGACACAGAAGACACAGCAATCAGTGCAGGATCAGAGACCAGCACTGGCGCTGGAAGGATTGCTGAAAACTGGAAAGAAGAAGATGATCGGATCAAGAGGCATCATTTAAGGTAAGTCCTTAAAGCAGCATGGGGGGAGGGGGGGGGGGATTTTATCCTTTAATGTCACTTTAACCTGATCCTTAATGTTAACCCGTAAAGCAAAAGCAGGTAGGTACAGTAAATGGGCAAGCAGTAACACAATTAATTCAATGGCATCCCAAAGAGTTAATCCAAGAGATGGAATTCTGAAGAAAAAAGCCAACAGAACAAGAGAGGTGGGGATGCAATCGCTGCCGTGATCCTTGCTGGTGCTTCATTAATTATGTATTCTGTTTAGGAAATAATTCATGTTCCTCGGAACTTTGCTGTGCTGGTGCTTTTCGAGAGCCTGTTTGAAGAGGCATATTAATATAGCAATAAGAGGATATGGTGTTATGTCTAAAATATGCAGAGAGTGTACGTGGGATGTAAACACGACCACACACAAAGCTTTCTGAGTGGTAAAGCCCATCTCCAGGCAAACATAAAGCTTACCCTTGCAGTGGGGCTACTCAGGCACTCCAAGGGTTAAGTGCTAATTTATGTCTAGGAGACACTACTAACGTTGTTTTACTTACACAAACTCTGCTCCCATTGGCTCCCTCCAGGCTGCTAGAGTAGTCCCCGCAGCCTCTTTTCTCTGTTGCACCGGCGGTCTAAGGACCATTGATGTCATCACGTCTTATGCAGATCCATTGACCTGCATTAGACATGAGGACACCTAGACACATTCCTGTCCGATAGCCACAGCAGGAAGGGAGAGGCAATCCCACCAAAGGGAGGGAAATCCCTGGTAATCAGCAGGGCCACCAGAACTATTGTCACCATGGGAATATTTCTCACCTACTCCTGTTCTGATGACAACCCATATTTCTGATTTTCTTTCACTTTCAGTGATAATTCTCACCAGGACAAATAGAGAGGGTGACTTTGTTGCTGTTTTGGCTTCAGTTGCACTTTAGGTGCAATGCAAACTAATTGCACTGAACTAAACTAAAACAAGCTCCCTCTAATGGATAAACTATATATTTAATACAATAACAAAACCATAGAAGAGCAAACTTGCGAAAATGCCAAGTTAATGTAAACAAATCTTTAAAGAAGTACTGTGGCCAGGCCAGGCTACTAGTGGTTTGGGAATAAGATGGTAAGGGCCGAGATTTGCCCCCTTGTTAGTACAAATGCTGATTCAGGTTTGAGTGTAGAAAGTTAGGATTGTACCTATGATATATTTCCTGGTGTAAAATCTTCTTTCCTCAGGTGAAGTAAGCCTTTTATGTGTGATGGTAGACCTTGCTGGAGATGGACTCCGTAGCTTTCAACAGCATGTGAATAACCAAATTAGAGAGATACCTGTCTCTCAAGACATGGGCATCAAGCACCATGCCATTAAAGCCAGGGACCCTCAAGCAGGATGGTAAACTGATCCATGGAATAGGAGATCCGGTCAATATGGAAGAGTCTTAGGGCTGTCTGCCAGAAGTTTGACCAGGCCGCCTGGGCCAGTTCGAAGCTGTTAGGTTCACTGGAATTCCCTCCATCCCAATCCTGCAGAGAAAAACAAGAAAGGAACCTGGAGGCCAAGAGGTCCATATCCGGTCTCCCCTACCTTTTGCACAGGTCCTGAAACACTTCCAGGTGAAGGGAGCATTCCCCAGGGTCCAGACACTGACCGTTGAGGAAGCCTGCATGTCATTTGTTTATGCCAGGAATGTGAACAGCAGATGTGGAGTTCAGTCCAGGTTAGAATTCTTTCTAACTCTTGCCACAGCAAAACTTCTTGCCCCTCCCTGATGCTGACTGATGCACACTATTTTTGTAGCTTGGAGCTCCAGAATGTTACTCAGCAGGAGAGATTCCTCTAGCGACTAAGTCCCCTAAAATGACATGGTGTCTCGGACTCCTCCGCAGCCCCTCAGGCTGGCATCCATTGTTAGGACCTTCCAAACAGTGAGAGGAAGCATTTCCCCAACACCAGAACATGACTTCTTTGCCACCAGGCCAGGCATAACCTGGTCTTCGCTGTCAGGTGTGTCGTTTTGTCTAGAGACTGAACCAATTTGTTCCAAAATAACATAATGTTGCATTGCAAGGGTCTGGAGGAAATGTCACTGAATTAAAAGGAGGCTAACATCCAGCCCAGCTCAAGCAGAATCGCAGAGTTGGGTGGCTCCTGGACTGGATTGTAGAGTTCAAATCTGGGTGTGGAGAGTCAGAGAGAAACTCTGGCTTAAGCTGTGCCTATGATGACTGACTCCTGAAGGTTTAGGATTCAATCAAACCTTTTTCTTGTCTGTTCACATCACATAGTCTGCATCACATTATCAGTCAATATTAGTGCTGATTGTTTCCTTAATAGATTAACCAGCTATTCCACCATGGGAATACCCTGCGAGTGTTGTAAGGCTAGCACAAGTGTCAATACCTTGGTGAACATTTAGGGTGTGAAAAACAGACGCACTGAGATTGTTGCATGCTCACAGCAAAACAGAGATAGCATTGATGCGCTGGAAAGATGGGTGAATGCAAGTACGTATCCGTGATATCCTCAGAGACTAAAAAGTCTCCCTTATGGAGTTAGGCTTGGGCATTTAAAGCATTCAGATTCAAACAAAGGTCAGATGTCCCCTCTTGGTTTTGGAACAGTGAAAAGATTAAAGTAAAAAACCTGAAAACTTCCTTCCATTGGAACAATGGCAATAACTGCTTGGCTCAAAAGATCTACAAGAGCAGCATGGAGGTCTGCTAGTTTGTGCACTAAATGCGACTGGTGTCCTCACGGGCCAGTTGGGTGGTGTGGTGGCAGAGGGGTCAAGCCAGAATGCAACCTGAATTGAAATTTAAACAGTAGAGGGTCACAGGTTTTGGGATTATTATTATTATACAGCGCTTTACAGTATAAGAAAGACATTACAATCACAATACAATTCAAGACAGGATGTTAAGGAGGTCCCTGCCCGTGAGGGCTTACAATCTAAAAGATACAACATTTTCTGTTTCTGTCCTTTATGTCTTAGGTTTTTATTTTAAACTAAAATACAGCAAAAAAATAAAATAGAGCTAAAACACGGGAAACACAAATATGGAAATCAGTAGGAGCATGCAGTGACAGACCTGGAGACAAAGTTCTTCCAAATGTCAGGTTGTTTTGTAAATGCTCTACTGGTGAGATAATAACAGGCTGTACATTTCTGGCACATGTCAACTTTTGCCTTTCTCCTAATAATAAAATGACAGCATCCAATGTGGATTTATTTTATTTTGCAGTATTATTCTATCATAAAAGCTTACCCTCATTTTCGAACAGGCATCTTGTGTTGACTCCGTCCCCCTCAATTCCTTTATCAGCATCGAACCTAAATACTAAAATAAAAACGCATTCAGATTTGTGGTGGAAGCACACACCCAGAACACACAATCGAACAAAAATGTCACCACATTTACATTTCTTTCTAGATGTGTTGTATGATGTCAAAAATATAGACAACCAAGGAACGGAACTGAAGAAAAATCACTATTTTACAAACAATAACACTATATATAACATTAGGCAATAACAATTTATCATGGCATAGTGGCTTTAGAAAATGTTAATCGACCCTGCCATAAAGCAAGTCAACTACAGTTCATTTCAAGCTAATGAGAGTTTCCTTGCTCCATAGAAAACATTTTGCAGGGACAATGCTTTTAGAACAGTTTACTGCATATTTGCATTAGTTAAAAGGACCAGTCAATCAAGTTATGTATCAACTGACAATAGTTAATGTGGCAAAAAGAGCCAAATATGTCAGAGACAAAACCATACACTAATGACAACAGTTCTTATAAATTGCCATCCATAATCACCAAGTGTTTGCCCCATTTGCGTAACATATAAAAGTAAACTACAGCTGTGGGATCTTCTATCCCAGCATTCGGGATAGATCAAAATATTACTTTTATATATAAGCTAATCTTAAGTGACATCAAAATAATAGTCATGGTCACTGTGTATCGCAAAATAAATATATATTTCTTTACATTTTACAATTCCACGCATGTGATAAAAGAATAAATATTTTAAACTACAGCTTTACATATTTTAGATTACAATCTTCAAACCACTTAAAGACCTCCTACACCAAATTCTTTGTCCCAGGAATCCTGGATAAAAGATCTCAAACTAGTAGTTTCAAAGTTGTGGAATTTTACTTTATATGGTACAGCGATGGGGGCCGACATTGTTCCATTTTCCTGTTTGGCAATTCTGAAATTTAACAGGAAGAGGAAGTCTTTTGAGATGATTTGTAACCAAAACCTAGGCATGTATAACAATATTTATAAGCGATAAATAACAATGTCCATTGTATATGAAATGGACATTGTATTGATGGTAAAAAAAAAGACATCTTCTGAGTTTTGTTGTTTTTCCTAACACGCAACAAAGTGAAGTAAATATAAGTGCACTGTATACCTTTATCATCTCAGACCAGGAACACTGGGGGTGAGGTACGGGTTTTAAAATGGGTCCATATTTTCCCCCAAATGGCATGCTCTAAACAAAGAAAAACATACTAGACATTTTCTGAAACTAGACACACAAAGGAATCCTTTTTTTTGATGGATCAAGCAAAATTTGCGTAGAAAATTAACAGTCACCCTAGAGGATATAAAAGCCTTAAAGCACCATGCCCCTTTCCATAGTCAACATGCATTGCTAATGGGATGAAATATCAGCTTCATGCTATGTCACATGACCATTCTATTAGGTGGTAAAAATAGCATTAAAATGGCCATAGTTTTGCTTTGACATGTTTCCTTTTACGTTGATATTAAATAATGAAATGATCAGTGAATGAATGTTGGTTAGCCAGTCTGTGCTTAGAATATGGCCGCCGTTTGGTCTGGCTGTTTAATTTTGATAATGAAATGTTTATATTCATGAATGAATGTCCTTAGCACAATAAGTTTAGATGCAGTTCTTGACTGACACTTGGAATGTTAGTAAATTTTGTATGCATATTAGAGACCGGTGTCTAGGACAGCGGAAATGACTAAGGGGTGGTGCTTTAAAGAACACCATTTTTAATTCAAGTGCAAAACAATGACAAAGGAAATTACTTATTTCTCTGGATTCTAGGAAGATTTATTTATCACAACCAGCAATCATTAGTGATCAGAATTTTGAAAAGGATTTTCAAATCTTCCAGAGAAATAACATCAAGGTCGGTTGTTCTTTCACTGCTTAGAGGCCGAGCAGTGGAAGGTTGAGATAGCAAGAACTTCACCCTGTGTTTGTCTTACTCAAACACTCTTTGTTCTATTCCCAAATGGGTCTTGAATGTTTATGTGGAAATGGTGATTTTTTTGCTTGTTTTGTTCATAAAAAGTTCAATGAGAATTTGATGTTCATAAAAATTGATGTCACATCACCTTTTTCTTATAAGACAGTGGTCAGATTAAATTCACATAGCAAATATCAAATAGGAGGTCCACAGTGGATCATAACTTTCAATAGAAAGCTTGGGTTTTCTATATTAACATATTTGATAAAACATAACATATTAAATTAAATCTAATGAAACATTTTTATAAACTAACTTACAAAAAGATATTCCACTGTTATGTGTAAAGTAATAATTAAAAGTGTCAGTCCATACACTTTTAATACTTCAGTTTTGGCTATGGGTCAAATCACCAACTGGCTTAATATATTTTGTAAATGCTTATATCTTTTTCCAAGATGTCTACACTTTCGTTCCCAGGATTCCCCACATGCCATAGTCACTACAGGGGAAGCCCTAAACTCCGTCGATTCCTTATGCAGTTTACATTCCTTCAGCCTAAGGAGGTTTAAAGCCATCACACATATCACAGACTTGTGTGACAGTTGGACCGCCTTAAGTGGTCTAAGTCTTCTGACGGTTTCCTGAACAACAATAGTCATATTGTGTGAACATTTGTCTTTTGGCTATGGAAGGAGATGGGGGAGGTACCTCCGATATATTTTGTGTTGGGTTACAAAAAGTAAATACCTACGTTTGAAAAAGGTTTCCCGAACCAGAACTTCTCCCCTTGACATGCTTCAGGTGGTTGACACAAGACATTAGCTCATATGCCGTCTAATGTCATGGAAGTGGTAACACAAAAGGGGAGATCTCAGGCCCCTGATATGTATATGAAGCCAGTGAAACAGCTCTAAGTGGCTACCCATGACTGAAATAACGGTCTGAGGTGAATTGGCCCTTTAAAGTGATGTGATCATCAATTATTATGATTTGGCATATTGTGGGAAATTTAGAAAACTGGTTCACTAGAAAAAAAAATATCCACAGAGTATTATGTCATTCTGTAGCATCAATATGGAAAGCTAATATAGATATCTGATTGTTTTCTGTGCATTGTATCTGCATTTTCTGTGAGCCAGTTCTTGGAAATGACCCAGAGTGATTGTGTTTACCCAGCAGCCTGTACTTCATTCCAGGTGTGTAAGTAATGTATAAGAATCTCAATTCAGGCAGGGATGTGCTGGCGCCACAAACGCCTTCCCAGAATGAGCGCAATGAGTATGACCTCTATGAGTGAAGATCAGAGGAAACTACTACGGCATAACAAGGGAAAGGAGCAACATTTCTTCAAGAAGGAAAGGGAACTCAAAGGTCACAAGGGTAAGAGGAAATAGGAGGGGTAGAATGCATTCCAGAGTCCTGGGTAGGAGAAGACTAAAGATAGAGTGCCAACATCATAAATAATATAATGCATAGGCCTGGGGTACGCACCCCTGTGCCAGTATTGTGAAGCCACAAGTCCCAAATCATGGAGGGAGTCGCAGTTCCACTTTGTCTGGATGACCGCCAGTTCTATAAGCCTGGTATAGGAAATTAAATAACCTGATTGGACAGTTCATTAAACAGATTCAGGTCACACAAAAGTTTAATATACAAGTTTATGTCTCTTTGTCACCTCTGTGTAGTAAACATAGCAGTCCATATGACTAACAGAACTCTTTTCAACTACAGCAGGACCCTTGTTGTGGTGTTGTTTCAAGCATTTGATCTGCTGCAATTTTGCTAAGCGCCAGTATTCCAATGTCCCAAAGGTCTAACATAGAGTAGGTCGCCAGCACACCTTCATCATCAAAATGCCTTTATTGATCAATCACATTACCCAATGGAGAGACCCTGCGTGGTCCTGAAACATTTTCCCGTGATCCCATGATCAACCAAAGTCAATAAAGGCACTTTGCCGATGAAGATTTTGGTGTGCTGGTGAATTACTCTCCATGTAATGTTCAGCGGTGCCATCCACTTGCCACTACAGCACCCACCGAGAGACAAAAGGAGACCTACCGGTTAGGTGTGCGATGGGATATCTGTATTGTCCAATGAGGTCTGACATTTGTTGCCCAGTCAACTTACTGACCATAAGCTGTCCTCCATCTTCTAATTATGCATAGCAGAACCTAACCACAAAGCCCCATACTAAAGAGGACCAGGAGCTGTGAATTGAAACTGTTATATACAATCAGGATCTCGGGATCTCAGGGCTAACTGCTCTGGAACGCACTGTATATGGTGTGAACAAGCCCTAAGGCACCTTGAAGGGTGCTTAAAGTGTAGGTAAAGCCTGACAGTGAACTTCTGTTGGCTCCTCTTTGGTCCGTTAAAGCAGAACTCCAGGTAAAACTTTTCTTAACCCTTGCAGTGGGGCTATGCCTACACAACAAGGGGTTAAGTGCTCGTCTTGGTCTAGGGAGGAAAATAAAGAAGTTATACTTACCCGATCCTCCAAACTGGCTTGCTCTTAGACTGGTCCCTGGAGCCCTTCTTCCCTTCCTCTGCAGCTGTCCAAGGTCCCTAAATCACCACATTCTATACACAGTATATAGGACGTGAGGACACTGAGGGACATATCATCACTGCAGCGGGGAGAGAGGCTAGAGGGAGTGCTGTCACAGCTGGCCGGCTAGGAGGGTTGGGTGAGTATAACTGTTATTTTTCAACCTAGGCAAAAATGAGCAGTTAACCCTTACAGTGCAAGGGTAGCCCCACTGCAAGGGTCAAGAACATTTTTACCTGGAGTTGTTCTCTAAATATGCCATTGAAATTGTTTCAGTCTATCTGTTTGATAAGAGCAAAACATAACCAGTTGATCCTGCCAGAAATCCAGTGAAATCCAGTGAGCAGAAATCCTCTGCTGACTCTTATCAGTTAGCATTGTTTCCAGTTCTCTCTGTGAACTAAAGAACACCTCCTCCTGTGTTATGAAGAAGAGGAAAGGGGAGGTGTTCTGTACCCTTGCCCTAGAGAGACAACACTGCTCCTCCATAGATATAGTACCATGACTGACAGGAAGTCATTTACTGGCAGGATCACCAGGTGAAAATAAGGGAAAACAAGCCTAAAAAAAGAAAACTAAATGCAGCCACTACATCTAAAGACTGGTAAGCTGCAATATATTATATTTCTGTTCTTGTTTTTAGACATTCGAAAATGGCCTCTCCACCAATATTAACATATAAACTTTTAGCATGCCTTAAGTGCGATTTTTCAACCCTAAACAGTCCTGCGGGTTAATGAAAGAGCGCCAATGTAACATTATTAGAGGCTTTATGGGCCCATTCACACCATCAAGAGTGCGTTCCAGTGCGTTCAGCCTCTGGAACGCACTGGAACACAACCCGGCCGGCTCACTTTGTTTTAGGGTGGGAGGGGGCGTGGCAGTGCATTGAACTCAATGGCACCGCAGCCATGCCCCCCGCGGTGCGATTTAAGGTACCTGAATGCGTGGCACATTAGTACCTGTGTTCCGGTCCAGTGTGATCTGCAAAAAATAGTGCATGCAGCATTTTTTGCAGATTGCACTGGACCGGAACGCAGGCACTAATGTGCCACGTGTTTTGGTGTCGGCGAATGCACAGCGGGTGGGGGGCGTGGCTGCGGTGCCATTGAGTTCAATGCACCGCCACGCCCCAAAACAAAGTGAGCCGGCCGGGTTGCGTTCCAGTGGCCGAACGCACTAGAACGCACTCTTGGTGTGACTGGGCCCTAAAGCAGGGGTGGACAACTCCGGTCCCCCAGCTGTTCTAGACAACACCCTCATGGGACTTGTAGTTTCTGAACAGCTGGGGGGCCGAAGTTGCCTGCCCCTGTTTTAAAGTCTGATGTTCTGTTAAGACTTTTCAAGAAGCTTCATCTGCCTGGTTAAAATGGTACTGATATGAAAGATATGACCAGAAATACAAAACAGAAACAGAAAATAATGAAAAAATATTAAGTCAGATAATAAAATGCATTGAATTCTTCTCTGAGTAGCTGCTACTGCCGGCTTCTCTTTCTGTAAATGCTCATTTCCCGGCCATCATGCTGGTCTCTGGCATCAATACTTCCATAAAGACGTCTGACTTTTCCCAGAACTTCCCAATTTCTAAGCTTGTTCTGAGTATTCAGTATCGTTGGTCAGCATAAAAGCCAGGGACATAGCATGTTCAGAAGGAGGTCCACCCTGGCATGTCTCTCTTCACTTTAACAATAACACATCACTACCCCCAAAGTC